CACAGCGACCTCAGACTCCTGGGCTCAAGCGATCCTCCTGCCTCAGCCTCCCAAGTAGCTGGGACTACAGGCAGGTGCCACCATGCCCAGCTAACTTTTTTCTATTTTTAGTTGTTTGGCTAATTTCTTTCTATTTTTAGTAGAGACGGGGTCTCGCTCTTGCTCAGGCTGGTCTCGAGCTCCTGAGCTCAAGCGATCCTCCCGCCTCGGCCTCCCAGAGTGTTAGGATTGCAGGCGTGAGCCACCGCGCCCGGCCGCAGCTTTCCTTTAAAGTAGAGCAGTGTCTCGCCTGCACTGACAGGTTCTGCGTGACCTGTGTCCTCGTGCCCGCGATGGGTCTGATCAAACCGGGGGTCTCGTCCCACTGGGATTTGGCTGCTTCCCTTGGAGATTCTTCTCGTCCCCTCGAAGGTCCGGAGATTTCTGGTAAACACATGTAGGTTGAGTGAGCATGCCCCACCGCCCCCAACACGCAGGCTCCTGTTTAAATGAAACAACACACATTCAAACATCATTACCAGACTTGGAAGCCAGAAAGGGAAAACCCTCCGTTGTCAGGAACCAAGAGGGACGTCAGAGCCAGAAGCACGCGCCAAGGCCCCCGTCCCCGCGAGCTCTGCAGCGCGTGGAGGTTGGAGAGCCGGGAGTGAGGCCCACGCGGGAGGCTGTGCAGGCAGGAGGGGGCTGCATGCAGTGGGGACCAGGGGGCTGCACCCCCGGCCCTGGCACAGCAGCAGCCGGCCACCCTGGGCTGGGCGGGGAACCCACGGCTCTCGCAGGATCCCGCCCTGCTCTGATCCGCCCCGGAGTGGGATCTGAAGGCTGCGGAGAGACCGGCGGAGCCTCCCAGCCGTGCCTCTCGGGGCCCGTGGGGTCCCCCTGCCTGTGGAGACCAACTCCTGCTGAAGATGAACATACAGTATATGTGTATGTGTGTTTCTGCGGAATACACGTATGTGTGCGTGTGCCTACATATGTTTTCCCCAGCTAGCTGTCCGGTGCTCCAGAGAAGCAGATCAGCATGAGTAGGTTGGGGTGGGGGGGTTGCAGCTGCAGTAGAGGAGAGAATTTCTGCCCCAGAAAAAAAGGGAACGGAATGCAAAAGAGAAGAACAAGAAATGCGACCAAATAGGACAAAAAGAACAGGCAGATTCTGGAAACAAAAAAACTAAGTTGAAATTCTCAAAATGAAAAGTCGTAGCTGTTGAAGTGAAAAACTCAGTGTGTGGACGAAACAGTGGTCTAGGCCGAGCTGAAGAGAGAGTTAGTGAATTAGAAGGCGGAACCGAGGAAGTCACTCATGAGAGCACAGCACGGAGGGACGGAGACCTGGGAGATGGGAAGCGGACGTCGAGACGTAGAAGATGCAAAGGGAAGGTCAGTGGGGGGGAGGCCACGTGTGAACAGCTGGACATTTGGGGTCTTCACGCACGGCCGTGCGGGACTGGGCGAGCCCTCCCAGGTGAGTCTGCAGTGCATGCGGACTGTCATTTTCTCCCTGGCCCTGCCTTCAGTTCTGATCGTGAGTGTGTAAGCTGACGGTACTTGTGAGAATAGCGTCTCTGCTCTCAGCTGGGACGTCTGCTGTGATGAAGCAAAAGTGCTCGAGTCTCCTTGCAGAAGATGGCCTGGGCTTGGGTTTCCCCAGTGACTGGGCTTTGAGTCAGAGGGTCACGGAGGCTTTCTGTCACTTTCTGCTGAACCTGAGACTTGGGGCTGTGTGTTTGCCGTTGCTGTGGTCTGACGTTTTTCTTAGGCAGGAGTTACAGGTGGACAGGTGGACATGGCGACCTGCTCCCTCCATGACCCGGTCTGTGGCATTACCTGTCTGACCCAGTTCCCTGGGGACAGGGGGTGCCCAGTGCGGGCTGCATGACCTAACGGTACATGCAGATTCCTGGGTCCCGGAGCCTCTGGGTGGGTGGGGGCTGGGGCCGCCCCCTAGAGCGCCTCCTCCCTGGGTGGTGGGGGCTGATGGCCGCGGGCGTCTGGGCACCTGAGGTCAGAGCTGGAGGGCTGGGTGGGGGCGGGGCCCGGATTGTCTTCCAAGACCCAGACCCACCTGCCACCGTCTTTTGGGCCTCCCTGTCCCCTCCGAGCTCCCACCAATGGGGCAGCAGTTGTGTGCTGGGGCAGGCCAGACGTCAGGGAGCCGCACAGAGCCGTGGTGTCAGGAGTCAGCCACGCGGGGGCTGCCACAGGCCGGTCCTCCTGGGGGGCACGTCTTCCTCCTTGGCATGCCGCCAGCACACACGTGTTCCTTCTGCCGGGGGCGAGCTCTGCGGGCTGGTGAAAACCGGGCCAGGACGGAGCTGGCGTCTGTGGGGGAGGGCGGGGAGGAGGGCGTGTGTTTTCATTCGTTCGTTAACCGCCTGGAGAGGAGACAATAAAAGTTGGGAAAATGTCATCCTGTGACATTTGCGTTCTCAGAAGAGCCGGCTGGGGCCGTGGGCCGGGAGGCTTTTGATCATTGCCGACGGCGCTGCCCCTGGGGACACCCAGCACTCCGTCCTGGGAGAGGGGCGGCCCAGCCAGAGGGGCCTGGGGGAGCCCCGCGCGGCGCCCCTCCCCCGCAGGCGGGCGGCTCCCACTCCTGACCTTTCAGCACGGCGGCAGGGTTCACATGGGGCCGCCTGCACCCCAGGTCTGAACCCCCCCCCGGCTGTCTCAGGGGTCCCGTGTCTGCTCCCAGCAGCCCCTGCGCCGGGCCACTGGAGTGAGCTGGGTCCCCCTTGGTGGGCCCCCAAGATTCCCCCTCCCCACGTAGACGCCAGCTGGGAACCACAAAGTGTGGCTGGCCACGCCTAACCCCGGCTGCGCCGTGAGCCCGTGGCGGCCCTTCACGGACCACCGGAGGCGGCCTGTGTCCTGGAGCAGAGCCCCGAGCCCTGCATGAGGGCTGCCGTGGCCGCAGCAGCTGCAGGAGCGGGACTGTGACCACCCGGGGGGCCCGTGTCCTGGCCGTGGCCGGCTCGCCTTGCCAGCGCTGTGTCCCGAGTCCCTTTGCGCCGGCTTCGGGTCTGCAAGCGGTGGCATCTCCCGTGTCACTGCCGGCCATTCCTGGTGCCTCCTTGGTACCGCTGGGAGACCCCAGCCCTCGTCGGCCCCTGAGGAGGCGGAGCGGCCAGTCCACCAGCGGTGCCTGGGGCGGGGAGGGGCTCGTGGGCACCAGAGTTGCCAAACCTTCAAGTTCTAGCGTCTCTAGCATCCGTCCCATAACGCTAAGGATGTACGGCAATATTTTTAAAATTTTTGTTCTCCCCCTAAATGTTCAGAGCTCTCACAAGCCAAAAGTAACAGCCAGAGCCAAGTTACTCGTTATTTGTGAGAGGCCCCTTGGAGCGCGGGAGCTGCCTCTGCCGGGCCCTCTGCGTCATCAGCCAACCGAGTCCCGTCTGGGGGGAGACACAGAGGAGCCCTGTCACCCCCGGTTGTAGCGCCCGTGGGTCCCGGCCCTGGGACGCAGCCACCTGCAGGGAGGCAGCGCACGGCCGTCTGCCGGCCCCCCGGGCGGAAAGGGCCTTTCTGTTGGGTTTATTTCTTCCCTCCCTTCTGACAGTTTCTGCAGGAAGCAGAGCAGCCTGAGAGCACGTCCGCGCAGGTGTCCCACCTGGGGGCTTCCGGCGCGTGACCGAGCCCTCGGTTTTCACGTCCACCAAGTGTGCGGGCGGGTGGCCGGCGGGGCTTCGCTGGGGCGACACACAAAACGCCCGCTGGGCCCCGTGCCTGGGCCGATGAGCGCCGTGGGCCGTCTGTGGATTCAGCAGGTGGCCGTCACGGGCCGAGGTCTTGCTTCCCCCACCGGACACACACACGTATGCACACAGACCTGTACACACGCAGCATGCACATGAACCTGCAGCACATCCATGTGCAAACACGCACGCTCATGTGCACACACAAGCACACTTGTGCACAGACACGTGGACTTACACACGCACACACGTGAACACACACCCCGCACCGCTGCACTCCCCAAGTGCAGGCTGCGTCTGCTCCCTCGGCACCTGGATTCCGAGCTGTGGGAGCCCCGTGGGTGCCGTCGGGTTGATCTTGAGCAGCTTCCTGCCGCCCGGCGTGTGGCGCTCTGCTTCTGGGTCAGCCCCTCCCTCCCCTCCGTTTCCGTGTTCCCCGGTGGAGCCCCTGCCCGCCCGGCCGCCTCGCTGCCTGACCAGAGGGTCCACGGAGCAGCCGCGCTGGGGCTTCGTGGCGGGGAGGCGGGTGGACCCCGAGAGTCTGGGGGGCGTGGCCAGATGCCAGGACTGCGTGAGGGGCCGAGCAAGGAGGAGTGGCCACAGTCCTGGCGGAAGGTTTCAGAACCGTCATTTTGGGGAGACACGACAGCAGTCCTGCCGTGCAGGCCTCCACGGGGGACTCCCTGCTGTCCTTCCTGACCCCTCCGGGGAGCCGGGCGTCCATGTACATGTCCTGCAGAGGGGCTTGGACGGGGCAAGCACCCCACCTGGACGGCTGCCTCTGCATGGTGCCCAGCTGCTGTGCGACTTTGGGCAGGTCACTTGACCTCTCTGGGCGTCCATTTCCCCGTCTCTGCGATGGGTTGGCGTCTCACGTGAACAGGAGCTGTTAGTAATCGTGTGGTGACTTCCAGAAGAGGCCTTTGTAAGCGTGACCCCAGTTAAGACTGCAGCAGAACCCCCCGCCCCACCCCGGGTGGGAGTGCAGCCCAGGAGTGGGTGACAGCCGGTCCGGGAGGCAGCAGCCCGGCCGCCCGGCTGCGGAAGCCGGGACCCGCCCCTCTCCGCGGCAGCGTGCGGGGCGTGCGGCAAACCTCAGCGACTGTGAGCGCATCGGAATGGCAGGTCTCACACAACAAGCACAAGACAGGCGTCCGGCCCTAGCAGGTGTTAAGCACCGTGTCTCCTCCCAGGACGATGTGTGCGTCGTCAACGGTTCTCGGTGTTTGCGGGACACTGTGTCCCGGCGGCAGGGCCGCGCGCCTGCTCTCGTGACTCACGGCCGTGTCTTTCCTGTCTCCCCAGGTCATCTCCGCGGTGTCCCGCCTGTCCCTGCACAGCATCGCCCAGAACAAAGGGATCAGGTGAGGTCCGGGCCGTGAGTCCCAGGGCGGGAGGGCTGATCTCCAGGGACACCGGAGCTTCCCCCGTGTGCTCCACCTGGGAGCTCCGCGCGAATTCCCAGTGTGGTGGAGCCTGCTGTCGGCGGTAGCGGGAAGGGTGGCGGTGCCCCCACTCACATTGGGGAAATCTTGCAAGCGCCTTCCTGACCGCTGCAAAATCTCCTTCGATCCAAGTAACAAGATCAGTGAATTAATCTTTTCGCAGCCCGTTGGCTGTGCAGACGCACCCCCCGCGCACATGCGGGCTCTGCCTGAGCAGGAGCTGGCGGTGCCTGTCGTGGGGGCAGAGCCGGGCGCTTGCCCTGCTGGCGGGCTGCAGGGCGCCTGGAGAAACCAGCCCAAGGAGGTTCTCCGCTCCGTCTGAGTCTGCTAATGTTGCCAAATTCCGTCTCCGAGAGCCCCCCAGCCCCTGCAGTCTGGCCTCCCGTCTCCGACACATGGAGGGGCAGGCGGGGAGCGGGGAAAGGGGACGGCAGCCCCACACGAGGACGGGTCGTCACTGCAGACTCTGACCCATGGGTGAGGGGTCAGGGAGACCAGGTTCCAGATTGGGTGGGGGTGAGCCTGTGCCCTTCCCTCCCTGACCTGTCTGGAAGGCTCCCCGGGGGCAGGGCCCCCGGGGGTGGACGAGGAGTCAGCGGAGTGGACGGGGCCACGTCTGGGCACAGTGGCATCGTGAGGGTGCTCCAGCTGTGGGCTGGGGCTTCACCTGATGTCCTCCCTGGGGCACGGTGCAAACCTGCAGGCTGGGGGGTCCCAGGGTGACAGTGCCAGCTTGTGGATGGCACAGGCTGCCCCTTGGCCGGGGCTGTTTGCTAAGGGTCAGAGGTCACCGGCGGGTGTCAGCGTTGAAGAACCCACTGGGACCTCTGCTGGTGGTGGGCGCTCAGGGGACACAGAGGTACCTTTGAATTGGGGTTTTGGGGTTTTTTAAATAAATGTGAGGCATAGGATAGACTGTTTTAGAATCAAGTATTAAGCACCTGCTGAGGAATAAGCATAACACCTTCAGGGCATAAAGAATAAGTCAAAGAGAGGTGAGTGCCGTCTAGAACACAGCCCACCTGGGAGGCCCTGGCAGCCCTGCCCACTGCCCAGCTATGGTCGGCGGGGACAGCAGGTGTGCTTGGTGGTCTGGCACTGCCCCGCCTGTTTGTGACACGTTCTCAGCCAGGAATGAAATTCGAGCAACGAAAATGAGTCGTTTTAATTTGCTCTTGCACAAAATACTAGACTTTGATCAATTCTCCAAATCCATGGAACGTTCTCCCCAGACCAGAGGCCTGGTGTGCCGGGCCGGAGTCGGACCAGTAACCGGGCCTGCCTTGGCGCTGGCAGGGCCATGCTGGTGGGGAGACGTCCCCGCTGTGTCCCTTCCCTGTCCTGCAGCCTGAACACGGCCCCCGGTCCCAGCTGTGTATGTTCCGGGCCCGCCCGAGGCCGACGCCCATCCGCAGGCTCCCAGGGCCTGTTTCCCCGGGGCTCTCGTTGGCGATGGGACCCGCTGGTGGCTTAGAGGGTGGTGAGGGACGTGGAGGGGCTGGTGCTGCGTCTGTCCTGGGTGACCGTCCTGCTGTGAATAGTGTGAGGCCCCTCCAGCCCGGGGTGGGCACCCCAGTCCTGGCCACCCGGCGTCCCCCCATCTCCTCTGGCCCCTCTACCCCATGGCCCGACTGGGCACTGCAGGGGCCCTGGGAGCTGCTCCCCCCAGACGGGCAGGGCAGGCAGGCGGGCGGCCTCCTACTGGGCAGGTGTGAGTGCCTCCCTCCCCCGGCTGGGACCTGCCCAGGCCGCATGTGGGCATAGAGGCCCCCTGGCGGGGAACGGAGACCCCAGCCCATAGACCACCGCCCCGTGGGGGTCGGCAGGTGGAGGCATCAGGAGGCTGGGCTGCGGCATCGGTGAGACCCAGCTGCGAACCCGGGTCCTGGTTAGCGTGTGCCGGAGGCCGCCTCCTGCAGGCCCTTGTCACACTCTAGCTAGACGGGATGGCGCAGGCTCCTCTGGATTTACTGGCGTGAGGCGTCCACGTCCCTCAGCCCGGTGCCCGGCCCAGAGGAGGGCTCACCACACAGTGCTGATGGCGGTGACAGGTGTGTTCCGGGTCCCCATGGTGGCACCGTGATTCACCGGGACTCACGGATGCAGCCAAGGCGTTCTGCTGGTGGTCGCCGCTTGCGACAGCGAAAGGTCGCAGGTCAGAGTCAGCAGCAGACAGGAAAGCACTGGGCCGGCCCGGTCGGCCCCCCGTAGAGTCTTCTGGAGAGCGATTCACTGTGACGAGCTAATGACGCCTGACAGCAGGCACCGGGAGGCCCACCCAGGCCAGGCACGCGAGGTCGTCCCCGATGGTTGGCTGCGTCGGCGAGGGTGCCTGCCCCCGACCGCGGCGGCTCAGTGTCCGGCCCTGCCGAGGTCTCAGATTCCACGTGGCCCCGGCCCGTCATCAGCATGGCCCCGTGTGGCCAAGGTCCCAGGCGTACAGTGACCGTACCTTCACAGTGTCTCACCAGGCCGGACACTCCAGGGCCGGGGCTGATGCCTCCACCTGCCGACCCCCACGGGGCGGTGGTCTATGGGCTGGGGTCTCCGTTCCCCGCCAGGGGGCCGCCATGCCCACACTCGGCCTGGGCAGGTCCCAGCCCGGGGGGGGGGGGCACTCACACCTGCTGGCCTCGGGCCCAGGGCAGGGCTGGAGGCCACCTCCACCTGGGGGACAGCCCGTCCCTTCTGTGGAGCGCGCAGTGGCTGCGCACCCCAAGTCTGCTGTGCGCCCCTTCCCTGCACACGGGACGGGACGGGGAGGTGAGAGACCAGGGGAGGTGTCTGCAGGCGGCGGGAAGGTGGGGCCTCCGGGCATGGAGCAGGGTGTGGCCTCACCGTGGTCCTCACCTCCCCTCTGCCCCGTGTCTGGGCCCCGCCCCGAGCTGCTCCGTCTCTGCCCTCCACAGCTGGGGGCTGAGAGCTCTGCCTGTTCACACGCTCACCTGTGAGCTCTGGCGACAGGGGACCTTCCCAGGCACCTGTTTGGCCCTCGGGTCTGAACAGCTTCCCCCCCCCAGTCCTCCACTCGGGCTGAGATTTTCACGGGGAGTTGAGCATTCTGGGGCGAACACCAGCGCTCTACAAGACACTAAGGTCTTCGCCGAGCGCATTTATTCGTGTCGTTAATTAGCAGAAGGTCTTAGTTTAGCCAGAACCTTTCTTTTTTGAGAGCCCGCCGACCGAGCCTGCAGTCCCGAGGAATCCCCGCTTCCTTTCACGGCTGAGCAGGAGCCCGGCGTGCTCCTTCACAGAATCGTTTTCACAACCTTGCACTCTGCATAATGAGCTGATTTTCCATAAAAGCCCTAATTGTGCCGCTCGGAGGCTGATGGATAGGAGACGTAATCCCAGAGCCCGCCCTGGTGCCGCGGGAGGGTTGTGGGCCGGGAGGGCTCCATGGCAGGGCACCAGCGAGGTGTGCGGGGAGTTGGGTCCCTGGTCCGGCCAGGGTGTCCTGATTGAGGGTCCTCGTGGCTCTGCGCGGATGGGAGCGAGGAGGCGGCGGAGGGTAGGACCCTCCCTGTGACGGAAGGTCAGGGCCACAGAGGACACCTCCATCGGCTGAGCGACCTGAGGCAGGGATGCTCTCAGAACCTCTGTCTCTTCTTCTGTGGGCTGGGAGCGTGGCCTGCCCGGTGAGGGTGCCGTGAGCGTGCACTTGCACATCTCAGTACTTGGACATCTCAGCCCCACCCCGGGCCTTGTGAGTGTCGCAGGAAAAGGGTTTGGAATGGATGCAGATTTGCAGAGGGAGATAAGTTTGTAATTATGAGAGGGGGCGGGAGGGGCTGCGTCAGAAAGAGGAGACGTCACCATAGAGGCAGAGGTGGGCGTGCACGGCTGCGGTGGCCTCAGGCGCGGCCAGAGGCAGGGGCTGGACTCTCCCCGGAGCCTCCAAAAAGGGACCAGCCTGCTGCCACCTTGATGGCAGCCCCGAGACCCGCTGGGACTTTTGACTGTGGAGCTGCAGGTGCTGTGTTGATCGAGGCCACTACGTCTGTGGCGACTTGTTCCGGCCACCAGGCAGGGGTGGCGTCTGCAGGGCCTCGGTGGCCGAGAGGCCATCGGGAACTCTGCTCTGGCTCCTCACTGGGCCAGTTCTCCCGGGATGGGGCCGGTGCCCCCAGGATGGGGGGGGGGCGGCTTTTGTCTTCGATTCTCTTGTCCCTGCCCAGCCCTGTCCACTCTCTGACACTATCAGTTGAGGCGATTCATGCACATAAACGTAACCCTCAAAACATGCACAGTTCAGTGGCCTCTGGGACATTTGCAGTATGGCACAGCCGCCACCTCTCGGTTTCAGAACGTTTTCATGCCCCGAAAGGAGCCCCCTCCGCAGCCCCGGTGGCCCCAGTCCGATTTCTGTCTCTGTGATGCATGCGCTCCGGGCCTCTCTTGTCCGTGGAGTCACACGCGTGCCCTGTGCCGGGCGGCTTTGCTCGCACGATGCCGTCAACAAGGCTCACCGCGCTGGCGTGTGTCGGAGCGCCATACTTCCTGAGCCCGAGTAACTTGCCGCTGTGTTGCTGGGTGGACTCGGGATCCCTTTGGGACTGAACGGTGCTGCTGAGCCGGGCAGGGGTCGGGGGCAGGCCGAGGTCGGGGGGAGAGACGCTGGACGTCCCCCGGCGCCCGAGAGGCGAGAGTATCAGACACCCCACACCAACCGGATCCAAGCACAGCAGACGTCAGGACTAAAATCCCAGCGGTGGCTTTGGAGAAGGTGTCTGCCCGGTGTGGGGGGCTGGTGACGGTCCCCCCGAACTCCCAGGCGCTGGGCCTCCCGTGTGTGGCTCGCGCCGGCAGAGGCCGGGCACCCTCTCGGGACACGGAGTGCCAGGAGACGCGGCCTGAGCGGATGCTGGCCTCACCGCCTGGTGTCTTCTCCTTTTGGCCCCGGCGAGGCTCGGCCGTGG